AGAGAGAGAGAGAGAGAGAGAGAGAGAGAGAGAGAGAGAGAGAGAGATTATTATATTTCAACAGATATTTCAGTAGATTGTGTTAAGAGTTCAATGATGAATAAGTAAAAAAAAACCATAATGATTTTATGGTTAACAAAATTAAGAATTAATTACATGTTTTTCGCCAATGATCGGACAATAGCGTTAATATTATTATAGGATATATAGGTATATAAAAGCGAATTATACAATTACTTGACCAAAAATAAGTAATATGATTTTTTAGATCTGTCATCAACCATTTATACGAGGCAGATATCTGCTGCGAAACCTCCGAAAATTATAAAATACTTTACCTTGGTAGACAATCTCTACGATAAAGTAACAATATAACTTGTTAAGGGACCTTATTCGATATACGTCTGGGGAATTATTGGATCATTTGCCATTTTGCCGCGAACAAGATATTGTATTTACAAAACTCCCAGGAGGAGAATCTAATACAGTCCGGAAAATGTGCCCGCGAGAGGCGGGAGAACACTGGAGGAGGCGGATTGGATGGGCGACGGGGGATAAAGAGGTTCTTCGGGGTTCGACGGTGACGCGCGCGGCCCCCCTCGAGTAAATTACATTCCCGGCAAGCCGTATCGGATTATCCTCACGTCGAGGCGAGGATTCGTCTAGACTGTAGGAACTTCGCCATATCGCTGTTCTCGCGCGCGCGAAGATAGGAAAGTTTAAAATCTCTCTGCACGACGGAAAGGCTCCGACCGACGCGATGTATCTCGCCATCGGATGATACCAAGAATGAATTATTCCATGTAGAGGCAATCTCACGTTCATTCTTGGGAGAACGATAGAATTTCACCACGCACCGCGACATGGGACAGACAACCTTGCATTCGCGAACTTTGCCGGGAAAGCTTTATCGATCAACGACGAACAATGACCGTACGCGAAGTCGGTCGCATAAGAAAATTCGCGTTTAAATGTTTGCTCTCTTGTTATTGTTTATTTTAGAAACTCCAATAGTGATCCTAGACACTTTAGTTCGTTTGATCTCGTAATTGACTCGATAATGAATCTTCTCTTAAAATGTCAATTTTTATATTTATATTATATAAAAGTTTTGATAGAATTTCACCACAATCATCGTTCTTTTCAATATGCGTATTTTTAAGTACAATCGTTTGTTATAAAATATTTGGCAATTATCTGCTATAAAAGTTTTCCATATATTCTTACGCGAAACATCCATCATTTTTTTTTTAATCTTTATAAGATTCTTACAATTCTCTTGAAATTGTGGTTACAATTAATTTATTTCATATTATTCGTAATTGACTGCATGTCATAAATTATTATTATAATAGGATCTATATCTATCTATTTTACAGCGCAGTTTCACGATTTTTGAATTTTGGCAGTGTGCAAAATTTTTTACTGATTCTCCCGGCTGACGTTTGCTGACGACGTCATCGCGATGGCTCGCCGAAGGGTGATGATTCGCGCGTTTTGCCGCGGTAAAAAGCAGGAATTAGTCCCCTCGAGAGGTCGCCGACGCGTCGTTAGGGCCGCACTTATTGCGACTTAATAAGCGTCGTTCTCCGTCCGAAACCGGACGGAATTACTTCTGCGGTGTGCATTTTTCATTATTCAAGAGCGAGAAAAAACTGCGATCCGAACACGAGCGAAGAACCTTTCTAAGGTAGATTATACCGCGTGAAAGCAATTTTAAACGATGACGACAACGTTGGTACGAGAAAATGCACGTGCGAGCGGAAACGTAGTGACGCGACGTCGCACGAACGTATCGCATATACCTTTATAACCCGAGAGCTCTCTTTGTTCATAGTAATAATCGTCCTACGGGGACATCGTCCGCTCATCT